TTGGTGTTGACGACATTCCCATCTTACCCTCTTCTTCGTCTAACGCCCCCTTCTTCGTCTGTGTATGGTTCAGGGCTGCCGCATTCTTCCTGTGTGAGCGCCAGACCCCCTTCACACCATGGAGATGATGATGATGATGTATGTTCTGGGCTGCATTGCAATATTGATTGTTCGGATCATTGGTATCTAAGTCTTCCGCTACGCTATCTTGTACTTTGTATTGAGAGGTCGGTTCTTGTTCTGGTCTGCACCGTTACAGTTTGCAACAAAGATAATGAAAGTTGTCAAGACCCCAAATCTCTCAAACCACCACCACCTCTCTTTGTGTCCGCCATTTCTGTCTGGGTTGACGAGTATCCTGGACTGGTATTCTGTACGGGTAACTTGATGAGAAGATCATTCAGCTGAACTTACTGTCATCTCTGACTCTCTCTCTCTCTCTCTCTCTGTGTGTGTGTGTGTGTGTGTGTGTGTGTGTGTGTGTGTGTGTGTGTGTGTGTGTGTGTAGCATCCTAGGGGCTCCTACACGGGCCCTTCAGGCCCAAAAATATTCTTCTCGGCCCTCAGGCCGCACAGCCCCTTTGGCTGGGTGACTTGGTGGGCCACAGCCACGTTTTGGGTCTCGGCTCATTCCCTTTGTCCCATTCTCTTTTCTTTTTGCTGAGTGAGTTTGGGAATGGGTTTTGTCTGGACTATTTTATTCTGTTTCACGTGCATCGGTTCAGACTTTTCTTTTTGTCCGAACAGGCAGACGACTGTTTGGACTAGCGGATTTCAGTTTTGGCCGTTGTAGTTCAGGTTCAGATTTGTCCGTATCTGGGAATGGACCATGCATTTGTCTGTTTGTGCCTGGCCCAGTCCTCAGGACCCTGCTGCATGGGCAGGGTTGCCTGGACATCTGGTAGGGACCCAGGCAGGCCGTTTTTGGCCAGGATCGTAGGACCAGGACTTCGGCCTGCGATCAGGACCATAGTTCGGATATCAGATCTGACGGTCCCGATTGCAAGACGAGGACTTCTCAGCAGCAAGCTGCGATACAGCAGCCTAAGAGTAGAGTAGGAGGCTGGAGTGGAGAGGTTGGCGGAGGCCATGTCCATAAGGGAGAGAGAGACTAACCTGGGCACCGTAGCTGAGACTTCATACTGGTCATAGGACCAGTCTTCAGCAGCAACCTGTATCGGGAATCATGATCTTTGCGGGTCAGTATTCATGGCATCATCAGGAGCGTGCAAGGGAGGAGAGTTCTTCTTCTCCTCCTGATCTTCTCCGCTCCTCCATAGCCACTATTTTTCTTATTATTCTTCAAGAGCCCCACAAGGCCCCATTTTTGCAGCCCGTCGGCCGCCCAGGCCCTGGGCTGGATATGGGTACCGGGCCAAACACAGGCCGAAAGCAGTTGGGCACATGCAACCACTTCAGGCCCAAGGCCTGCTCCTCTCGTGCTGGGCCTCAGGCTACCGGGGCCTAGTGGAAGCTTCCTGGACTGGACGCAGGCAGGCCACTTCGATATAGGGAAGGGCCTGCCTCCTCATTCGGCATTCGGGTGCTGGCTGCATGCTGCGCAAGCGCTGCTGCACTATTTGCTGGCTGTCGTCTACGCTCTCACGGGCGAGCAGGGAAAGAGCACGCAGCCATAGCCGAGCTGCGCTGCTGTATGCTGGGTGAAGCGCAGGGTGGTCCTTGGGTGCTAGTGGCATCTGTGAGTTGGCGAACGAGGTTGTGAGTGTAGCTCGAGACATACCTGGTGCTGGAAGCGTGAGACATTGGTCGCCATATGCTCGTACTTCGGGAATGCTGTTGATGTCATCTTTCGGCTTCGTAGTATAGGCTAGATAGGATCTGCCACATGTAGTCTGGGCGCCGAGCGCCATATAGGATATCAACTCTGGTTCTTCGTTGATGATGATGGGACTATTTCAGCATTGTCAATTATGAACTCTTGGTGTGTTCTTATTTCGTGAATCTCGTGATGCAATTCTGCTGTTGGTTCGAGGTCAAGACTATCTGGACTCATATATATGATGCTGTTTGATTGCTGAAGTTCGCTATTGCTCATCTTCCTTGCACTCCTCCCTCTTTTTGGGGGGGGGGAGAGAGAGCGAGAGCGAGAGAGAGAGAGAGAGAGAGAGCGAGAGCGAGAGAGAGAGAGAGAGAGAGAGAGAGAGAGAGAGAGAGAGAGAGACCCACAGTGACTATGGGCCTATAAGAGCCCAGGATCTAATTCGACATTTTGAGGACATACTATTTTTTGATGGACCTTTCTTCCATGGATGATTTCCCTCCTCTCGTCTTCTCTCCCATCTCCATCCTCGTCCTTCCTCCCCCTTCGTCATCTGTGGCTTCTTCCCCATGTGTGTGTGCAAGGAGGGACCTTTCTTCCATGGATGATTTCCCTCCTCGCTGTGTGACATGTGTGATGATGTTCATGTGAGTCGACTCTGGTTCCGATATGTCAGGTCATACCTTTGAGTCTTCCACTGTGCTACATTGCATCATGTCCTTTCTTATCTGGATGCACATTGCTTGTCCTTGCTTCACATTGTGTATTCTGCGTCCTCCTCATCACATTGGCGTTCCTTCGGTCTTGTGCATCGTTCATCTTCAGATGGGTATGCATCACTCTCCGTCCCTCCCTCGAACCCCACCCTTTCCTTCGTCTTGCTCTTGGTCTCCATGCACACCTCCCTGACTTCCACTTCCTCTTGGTCCCCTTGCTCCCTCTTCCTCCCACATCTGTCTGTCCATGTTTGGGCACCGTTGTTCCCTTTACCCAACAAGACTGCACACCAAACATGATGAACTCTATTTGCAAAATTTAATTGACCTTAATTTTGTATCCTATGAAGCGGACAAAAAGTGATTTTGTCGAATTTGGCCTCGTTTTTGGGCTTCAAGACTGATCATGTATGTTGCAATTAATATGACAGAATACCGAAATTCAGAATCCTACCGAAAGAGTCTCTTTTTCCCCTGACAGTCGTACAATAGACAAAATTAACGTCCACAAAGTTGAATGCAGAATGAGGGAGTGGCGACTACGACTGCCAAATGAAAGAATGGCAACCATTATGACCGCATGACAACCGGAAACCCCCATAATAAACAGCCAAAAGAACATTACTAGGATCGAGAAGATGGTCCCTGTGCAATGATGGCACGCATAAATCCAGAAATGGTCGAAATTAAAAAAAATAAAAACAAAAAAATGCAACGAGGAAAATGATGCTCCATCATCATAATTCTTACCAGCCAAGATGCAATAAATGGCAATTCTGTAAATGGAAGCATCTGGTTGGCTGCACCGACTTCCATACCAAGCTTGACCTCGGGAACTTCATCAAAAGCATATAACACTCCTTGGCCATCTAAAACTGGCATTATTCTGACCTGCAAAAAGTTGATATCATATTTATTGTCAGCAGCACTACACTTTCATCCACTTTTGTAGTCACTTCTGCATCGACCTTTCATTGCATTATCCATCAAGCATTCAATTACACACTTCAAAGTCACACAAACTGGATTGAGAACATACCCTAAGCTGAAGTTAGCCCTCAATCCTTACAAACTTCTTCAGTCGAGCACAAATCTGCATAATGTGGTAAATCCAACAACCTCATTCATTGCCCCATCTTGCCCTTCTCACACTGCTTTAAACTCCCTCTACTACGGACAGTGATAAATCTACAAATTTGTTTTCCCTATATTCCCGTCTCCGTTATATTCCTACCAAAAAAACAGCCGAACTAGCTGAAACTGGACACATGGGTCAGATCCAACGGCCTGCAGTGCCAGCACAACCCCGAAGTTTGGTCAGTCAGGTGGGTGGCCAGCACGGGTATGAGAAGAGCAGACCACAGGCTCATTGGGGGGGGCTTCATCGGAACACAGTGGCATAACTGCCAGGTTGGTGAGCTTAGTTTCGGATTAATCCTCGTAACCATGACAAGTTTGCAAAAGCAATAGTTTTGGAACTTTTAGACCTTCTGTGGGGGGGAACAGGTCACATCATACTTCCCATTGAGGAGCTGAAGGCTGGAGCCATACATGTCAATGAATTGTATCCAACGCTTCAGTGCATCAGAAAGTGTGGACTATCTCTTGACTCTTGATCCACTGGAATGTCTCATGGTTAGACCGGTGCAATGACTTGCTGGTTCCAGGTTGCCTGTAGCCTCTCTCTGACGAGGCTGTACCATAGGTAGGGACAGATTCGTAATTTTGTTTGGCTGAGGGCTAACCGAGAGACCGACCTGTAAGGAAAATGCGTGAGGGACATATTTGTAAATATAGGAAATATGGGCCCAGAACTACCTCGAATTTCCTACTGTTACCCTAACTGCGAATAGCAGACCCGGGCTACCCCGAGGACAGACAGGCCCGATGGGCCTACGCTGATGGACGGTCTTATAGCCTATAGCTGGGCAGGGAGAGGCCCTAGGGGTCGAAACAGAAATGGTACCGGTCGGTCAGTCCGGTCGAGGTTTAGTCTAGGCTAGGGTACAGTATAGATAGGATGGGAACATCGGTCCTGGGCTTTTCGCAGTTGACACTTCGTGGTGGAAGTTGCTGCGCCCACTGCATCAGGTCGTGGTGACTGATTCATGCGTGGGAGACGGCGGACATAGCCAAACCTTCGGAGCGCTGACCAGACTGGGGTCAATGCTGTCCGCTCTGACTCTCTCGGAGTCAAAGCGGCCTGGGCTATCAGAAGTCTGATGCGTTGGAGCACGTGGTACACTGCTGCCCTCCTCAGGGATAGGGTCCCAGTCGCGATGCAGCCATAGCTGCATCTTCTCAGAGATTATTATCGTCTGGACTTCATCTTCATTAGAGACTGTTGGTGCAGAGCTTCTTCCTCATCATCTGAGTGGCGATTGGCTCTGGGAGCCTGTTTCATCTTGGCAAAGGCCACGCAGTTGGATGTCAGGGTGGCGGTGGGTGTTACCTGGGGTTCTGGTGCAATTTTTAGCTGTTCAGTGTGTGTGGGGTTGCGGCGCTACCCCTCTAGAGGGTAGTGCAACAGGGTTCCGAGGTTATTCAGTGGAACGATGCTCTGAGTTTAATAAACAGTGGTAATACTTTGTTTGAGTTGTCATCTCTTCATTGATCTCCGGCTGTGATCACTCAGTCGTCTTCTATGAATGATTGTTGGGATTTGTGTGGAGAGAATTCACTGTGTTGTGTATTCTATCACTTTGCGCCTCTGAGTCTTCGCTGCGTTCCTTGTGTTGGGCGGTGTGACGCTGCACTACCTCTCCCCTTCCTTTTGTGCATGTATGGGCGTGTACGCGAGTTTCAATCAGTGAGCGTTGATAAAATTTCAACGGACAACCATGTTCATAATAGTTGGTATCGGAGCAGATCAGACCCAGACAGTGGCAAGATGATAGACTAAGGCAGCCATCACTACCTGAGAGCTTCTGACGTTGGATTTCATGGGGAAATCTCATCTTCAGTACTGCGCTCAGTAGGGTGTTGATGAGGAGCGTGTGGAGGCCGGTATGACACACATATTGGTGGCAATATAGTGCTCAGTGGCCTGGAAGGCACCGAGGGGCTACTTTTAGCCCAGACGTTGACTCTGCCAGTGGCAAGATACCAGGGGGTATGTCGAGTTTCAGATTCTGAGCCAGATCCAGTGAATCTGACTCGTGGGAGTTAATTGCCAATGCTAAAGCTTCAGTATCACCAAGTTTCAGGAGATTTTGAACGTGGGAGCACCAGGAACAGGGAATTGAAGAAACTAGCGAGATGGCAGCCATAGCCAGTTCAGCTTCTTCTTCAAGTGTTTTGCCCTGAAGTAAGTGTGTTCCTTACTCAAGTCTCGGTAGCAAGTGATAGTTGTAATTAGACTGGGGAAAGTGAAATTGTATGTATGAAGTCAGTGGAAATTGAAAATCGCACTGCCTGACAGCCATAGCTCTTTCTTCTACCTATCTACTTTGACTTCTATTGACTCTGTTTGACCCTCTTTCTGTCTCAAATTGGATCTCTGACTGTTTTACAGTATTGCGATCCAGTACACACTGTGAATTGGATAGTTCAGGATCTATCTGTTAGTGATAATGGAATTCTAAATGTTGCACTGCCATAGCCAGTGCTTGGGACAAATAGGGTTTGTCATATCTTAGGTTTTGTCCATCAGAATATCAATCTGTCAGCCATCTTGAAATCGCAATTCAATATTGAGTCAGTGTTTGAAAGCGCTCTACTAGATTTGATGTTTGGAGTATGTTATAGTGATATTTGTACTTCGCCTCACCCATAGTGGGGCATACAGGGTCCTACAGTGCCAGTGTCAGTAGCAAGAGTCTAAAAATAGCTTTATCAATAATTCGCTGCAGCTTGGTTGACTCATGGTTGGCATCAATTGCTGCTTACTCTCTGCGCTATTCTAACCCTCCTACTTACAGTCCTAGGTTGCATCCTGTCCAACTATCTGACAGTGGTTCTGGGGTAAAAATCTTATGACTGAAGTGCAGGATTTCAGTACGACCGAATTCACATTTCTGCAGATGGATCCTGTACTGGTGCTTCCGAAGAAGGCCTAGCATGATAACCAAGTGCTGCGTGTGTTCCTCCAGACTGCTACTACAGACAAATATATCGTTGAGGTACACGACCATAAACTTATCTAAATAATCATAAAAAATCTATTCATTTCGTGATGTCATTTCATGATGGAACATACCAGATGCATTAGAGATCCCAACGAGCATCATCGCAAACTCGTGCCGACCGGACCTAGTCGGAAAAGCGAAGAAGCGATTTTTTGCCGATCCTGTGATCTAATATGTATCTGATGATACTCAAACTTCAAATCTATCGTATTGAAGTACCTATATCCCTATCCAACAGGCCATCGAAGCGGGTAGCGGCTTTACATTCTTAATGGCAATGGCATTGAGGCCTCTTTAATCAATGTGTACCCTCAACATGCCCCTTTCTTAGGAACAAATAATACCAGCGCACGGTACGAAGACATACTTGGCCCATAGTACCTAGTTAGAAATGCGGTTGTGCTGATCCTCCAGCCTATCTGATGACACCCACACTCTACCCTACTGAAGTACCGACATACTGCATTTTATCCAAGAGGTCATTGATGTGGGCTGCGGCTCGATGTTCTTAACACTAATGGCATCGAGGCCTCTTTAATCAATGCCCATCCTCAATGCCCCTTTCTTAGAAACAAATAAAATCGGTGCACCATAGGTAGACGTACTTGGCTGTATCCATCCCTTCTCACTAAGCTCCTCCAATTGTCTACGGAGCTCATCCAACTCTCTTGGAGACATCCTATAGATCCTACCCTCTAGTCACTTCAATACTCGAGATAAACTTCATCGCATGGACGGCCTCTCTATCAACGACTCCTAAGGCCGCCTCCTAATAAAAGCAACTAAAAAAGTTGGTTACTACTCCTATTAAGGCTAATAAATAAGCTCCACAACCTAGAGCAACGAAAAAGAGAGAAAATTTTGCTGCAAGATCTAGATAATGTTACTGCCAATGAAAACATAGTAAACAATATTTTGATAGCTAAAATATGATTTGTCAACAATCGCTAATCCACTATTTTAATATGTTATGCATTATAGGATTCATCTTCTTGCTTACCATAGGAGGACTTACAAAAATTGTATTAGCTAGTTCTGGTCTTGACATTGCTCTACATTACAATTATTATGTAGTAGCACACTTCCATTACGTTTGTTCCATGAGAGCCACATATTCGCCCAAAAAACGTTTCGCTACTGACCCTGCACATCAATCGCAAACAATAGCACTTGGTGACCAGCATGTCTTGCTGCACTTCATGCCTGGAGAGGCGTTTCCAACGTTGTTTGGTCTCAACTTGAGCCCCAATCCATTTTCGGTGCGATGAGGCTAGACCAATCAGCTATTTCTATTTCTGAAGGTCTCAAATTCCTCTGAATAGTTGGTGACGTCTTTCTTTCTCTATCTCTAGAAGGGTCTTGATAACCTGCGTAGACCACCAGAGAGCACAAACAGCCATAAGAGCTATGCAACGAAAATGAGCGATAGCGAACTTCAAAAACCAAGCAGCATCATACACATGAGACCAGGTAGTCGTGACCTCGAACCAAAAGCAGAATTGCATCATGAGTCCCACCAAATAAGAGCACAACAAAAGCTCATAAGTGACAACGTTCGAATAGTCTCATCATCATCAACAAAGAAGCAAATGTCGACATCCTATCTGGCGCACGACACCCAAACTACAAATGGCAAATCCCATCTAGCCTATCTACAATGTCGCTGATGACGTCAACAGCTCCCCGAAGTACGAGCAGATCTCGGCCAATGTTGTTCGCCTCAAGCACCAGGTATGTCTCTCGCCTCACTCTTAACATCGATCC